TACGATATCTTTAAAATTATCTAAAATTTTTTGAGTTACATATAATATCTATTATGTTATACATTTTTAAAATTTATTTTCAGATTAGTAAAAAAGAAAAACGACGCTGCTAAGAAGTTTTATTTAGAGAAAGACTATAAAGAAGCATTAAAGAAATATAATGAACTCATTGGTAAGTATTCTTCTTAATTGTAAACTTATTATAATATTGTTTAATTAATCGACAGTTCAATTATTTTTATAGAATTATGCCCAAATGATTCTCGATACTATGGAAACAGGGCTGCGTGTTACATGATGCTTAATAAATATTGCAATGCTATAAAAGATTCAAAGAAATCTATTGAACTGGATAATAAGTTTTTCAAAGTATGTTATACATTACATCTAAGAATGTGTATATGTCGAAGGAACATTTGGATAATTCATTAATTTTTGTAGGCTTATGCGAGAATTATAAAATGTTCTTTAATTTTGGGTGATATTATTCAAGCTGAAACTACTTTAACAAAATTATCAACTCTTGATCCCACCAATAAAGCAATAAATACAGAGAAAGAAGAGATACAATATGTACAAAGATATCTGAAAGAAGCAGATGTTGCATATGCCAAACAGGATTTCCGTAAGGTATGTTACCATGTATAATGTAAAAGGAAATTTATATGTAATATACAGTAGTATCTTGACTTACGAACTTAATTCGTTCCAGTCTGAAGTTCGTATCTCAAAACCCAGTTTTCTTTTATATTATAACTCGAGATTATAAAAGCATCACGGTTTATTTCTCGAAATTAAGTTTGTATCTAAAGGTTAAAATGGAGTATGAAAAAAGTTCGTAAGTGAAGGTACCATTGTATTGAGTTGATGCAAAAGGTTTGATATTTTTTTATAAGAAATAAACAGAACAGTTCTCAACTGTTTACTGATTAAATCAAAACTCAGTAAAAACGAAGAAAGAAGTGTCCTTTATGCGCATAATGGTTTGAAAACAGATGTTATTTGTTTTGAACACAAAAATGTTCTTGTTAATCACATATAAAAAATATCAAAATTTTTGCGTCGACCCGATAGTTATTAATATAATAAACAATTAACCTATTGTGTTTTTTACAGGTTGTTTATTGTATGGATCGTTGTTGCAGTATTAGTACTTCTTGTCCCAGGTTCAAAATAACTAAAGCAGAATGTCTAGCACTTTTAGGAAGATATCAAGAAGCTCAAGAAATCGCGAAGTATGTTATTTATTATTATATTTGTACATATTGTTATTGTGTTGTTGCATTGTATTTTTTATTTCAGCGATATCTTGCACATTGACAAACAAAATGTGGATGCTCTGTATGTCCGTGCTATGTGTTTGTACTTTCAAGATAATATTGACAAAGCGTTTGCACATTTTCAACAAGTACTTAGATTGGCTCCAGATCATGCTAAGGCATTAGAACTATACAAGGTAGGAAATTATATTGTTATATAATTTTATATTATATTAATTATATATTGTTTTATAATTTTATAGCGAGCTAAAAACTTAAAGAAAAAGAAGGAAGAAGGAAACGCTGCATACAAACAGAATCAATATCAAACAGCATATACACTGTATACAGAAGCATTGACTATAGATCCCCAGAATGTAGCAACAAATGCAAAACTTCATTTTAATAAAGCAACAGCTGCCGCAAAGGTAACATACTTTTACTTTTCTTAAAGCAGATCTTTCGAGAATTAGATCATTAATTTTATTTACTGTTGAACAGTGCGGTCTTTTGCAAGAAGCAATATCGGAATGTACAGAAGCATTAAAGTTAGATCCAAATTATTTAAAAGCTCTTCTAAGAAGAGCATCCACATACATGATACTTGAAGACTATGAACAAGCTGTTCAAGATCTTGAGAAAGTGTCTAAAATGAGTAACAATCGAGGTATAAACAAATCATCTGCATTGTAAAAATTATTTTTTTTTAGTTGTATTACAGTAACCTTTAATATCAATTTACAGAACACAAACGGTTATTTATGGAAGCTAAATTAGCACTGAATAAATCGAAGAGAAAAGACTATTATAAGATTTTAGGTATTGATAAAAATGCGTCGACCGATGACATAAAAAAGGCGTATAGGAAAAGAGCCATGGTACATCATCCAGGTGCGTTGAAAAACATGTTCCAATAACTCATTTGGATTGTGAAATGTTTTTTTCATGTCATTTTCTTTAGATCGACATTCGAATGCAACGGAAGGAGAGAAAAAGGAACAAGAGAAGAAGTTTAAAGAAGTTGGAGAAGCTTATGGAATCTTATCAGACCCTAAAAAGAGATCGCGGTATGATAATGGACACGACATAAATGATATTGACGGTGGATTCCAAGGTACAAACGTTTTTTTTTTCTCAATAAATTCTTAAATATTAAGGACGTGCGGGTAATTCGCATTACGGTAGATTATATTATCAACATTTTTAAATTAAACTCAAAGTTTGAGTACCCAAAAATTTCTAAGCTCTGAGAATTTGTATATAGGGAGATCTTTTTGGTTTTTCGTCCCATTTTACCTGAATTTTACCAACCCAACTCAAACCTATAATCTCAAGTACCCGCACATCCTTATGTAATTACACTTAACTTTCCGCCGGCAATATGGACCATTTATGGTTCTATCGAAAATTTCATTGTTTAGCTTCTCCAGAACGGAGAAATCAGACTGCCTCGGCCTACCACCTAAAAAATTGTAAACTTATAAAGATTATATTCCTCAAATGTCTAATTGTCTAGTATTCAATGCAGAGCGGTAATATGCGAGGAGCACCGAACACACCATTGAAAAAGTTGTTCCTTTTAATATATATATTTTATGATTTGTTCATAATTTACTTTTAAACATCGTTTACAATTTTATTTTTTAGAATAATGCTTCACTTTATTTTCAAGGCTATAGTTTTATAAGTCTTACAAGTAAAGCAGGGAATATAATAAATGTTTCAGAATTTTTTCAAATTTTTGTAAAACTTACGACAATGATAAATTAGATCTGATCATAAAAAGTTCATATTGCTGACCGCGTGTGAAAAAATATATTGCTGGCAGAGGGTTAATTATAGTGCAACGTACATAACTTTACGAAGTAACTCATGCTAAACAATTTTTATATCTTTTTATAGACATTGATCCAAATGCAGTTTATCGTACATTATTTAAGCAACACTATTCTCAGAATCACATGGGAGGTTTCTCTGGTAATCGTCCTGGCGTCTTTACCTTCCACTTTGGTTAACGGATCTTGAGATATGCGTCTTTGTAATTGTATTAATGTAGTTAGTAATCGGTAATTCATGTTACTCTAAACATAAGTATATCAGATTTTCTGTACTTTATATTCGTAGTTTTTCCCGTACCACCCGACATAAATAATATAAAACTTATTAAATAATGTTATGTATTTATTTAAATAATTGTAAACATGTTATATAAATATAATAACTCTGTAGATATTTTGCAACGCGATAAGCATGAATGATGAATGTAAGGAATTTTCCTTTCGATTTTGTTTCTTATAACAGGCTACGAATTTATCAATGTAGGTACTTACGGAAATTATATTTATGTTCTTTTACCAATTCATGACAGGTCTAAATGAATTTACAATAAAGTAAATAATACGACCCACGATAAATTTTCCGAATATGCTTGAATTTGTTGTTTTCAGGTATTATATAATTTATAAATTGCTATGATTAAATGATAAGGGAAGATAATAAAAATCGTCTGTAATTTATGGTTTCTTACGGAAATATGATACATTAAATATGATTGTATTAAAGTATAGTAAATTTCTGAGTATAATATTAAATTATGTTTATAGTACTTTAATAAAATAAAGAATGTGATAGGAAAATGAAAATGACAAAAATATAATGCTCAGAAAGTGTAACGACAGACTATATTACTTCATTATTCCTGTAAAATGTTAATATGCTATTCGTGTAACTACTTCAATGGGACTTACAAGAATAAGAAAATAATTTGTTAAGTACCTTATTTATTTTTCAATTAAGGAGTAACATTTCCGCAATTCATATTCATTAAAATAAAAACAATCTCTTGGTATTTCTATTACTTATTTAAATACAAATCTCGCGTTCTAAACGATTCAATTGGTCGAAATAAATTATTAAACATTGGTAATTTAAAAAAGGAAGGTGTTACCTTAGACGCAAATAACAGGTTCCTAAAGCGCAATAATAATAGTTTCAAAGTTCACTTAGGCGTTTAGGTATATCAATACTAAGTCTGATGACTCTTTTCAGGTTGTTTACTAAATCGTAATAAACAACATGAACGTAAGGCACGCAGTAGCCGAAATGTACATATTCGCAAGATCACATGAAAATATGTAGCAGCACCTATAAATTCGCTGAGATCTTACTTCAGCGAATACATCTAAATTTTCTTCTAACAACGATTGAGCATTTACGACGTTAACAAACTTTTCAATTTTCTCTTTTCCTCTTTTTATCCACGTATCGTAAATTGCAAATCGTCATCGTATAAAATGGCATACTTTCATTTATAATATTTTTAATATTTCACTCGTGTATCGTTTAGATTATTTAACATTATTGAGCAGAAACATATGATTTTAAATTATATTTAAAATATACTGCATTTAGGTCTTTTAAGTACTTCGATTTGAGTTTTAAGTCATTCTTTGATAAAATAATAAGTTAATAAAACCTCTTCCGGTTATCATGTAATTTCCATACTCCGTTAATTTTTGCTCTTTTGTAACACGGCATATTTAAATACTTAACACGAGTATGTTTGCTATCATAAAAGATACTTAAATCATGTATTATGTTTCATGATCGCAAAATTAAAACCTGCACTCACAGCGCATTTGTGGATAAGTACGTGCGCTTAAAAACAAATTTTTTCAATCTTAAACATATAGCATAAGTACATATCGGTATAACAGTATGTTTGGTAATATATACATATGTACAAGCAATCTACTATTACTCTGGAACCAATTTTGTGCTATCATACATTGTCTTAAAATAATTATTTATTTGTTTCATTATAGGATGCCCTGCCCGCCAATTCGAGTAAATAGCGATCAGGATGATCTATCCAATCACTAGCACTTAACTTAACAATCCTCTGTTTTTCAGCTTCCTTCACTTGCCACTTCTTAATTTCCAATTGACGTTCCCTAAAATATATTCGTATGAATTTTTTGTCGAAACTGATTTGTCTAATATTATTTCTTTAATACATCATATAATTACCTCAGTTTTGTATGTCCGCATCCCCAAACTTCTAAACTAGCAATCGGATAAGGTGCACCTGCAATACTGACCGATTGGAATGATTCGTCTATGCTGATATGTGGTGAACGTGGATTACTTCCGAAACGTAGACCATGAGGGTAACCCCTGATGTTAGTATTCAAATATAATACTTTAGCTCCCCTTTCTATAACTCTGTACGATGGAAATAATTCAATGCCCATAGAATCTTCATCGCCCCAATACAGGTGACTTTCACGCCATTCTACTGCAGAGCATATGCAGTATGTAGGACATACTGTATCCTTGTCTGGGCTAACAGCTCTTATGAATAACAACGTGGGACCCCTATATCCTAATACATGATGTAAAAAACGGTTGGCTCCTGTTCCATGTTCCGAGTTATTATATAATAACGTCCAATGTCTAGGGCATACATTGCCCAATCTTTTAGCTATCAAAGCATGAGGAACATCATTTGGCGATTCCTCTGCCTAAACATTATTTATTACCTTATTATTTAATGATGCATTAACACTTTCACGATGGGAAACGTCCTATGTCATTTCTAATTCTTTAACAGAATACAGGCAATATAGTCCTACGTCATTTCAAATTTCTTAGCTGAATACATTTTATTAAGAAAAAGAATGTCTATACACATTTGTAATGTTTAATGTCCTTAATACTTTAAACAACAAATGACTATAAGTATTGTGCTGAGATGTAATTCACATACCTATGAATAACAGAACGTTGCCATACTCAGCTGTAGATTTTTGGAAATTACATACTGTATTCAGCTAAACGTTTTGTCCAGCTATCGCCCATCGTGAAAGTGTTAAAATGGACAACACAGTAAATTTAAATAATAATATACCTGAAGGTAACATTCAGGTAGGGTACTCGACAGCAACCAAACATAGCTCACAGGTAGTAAAACTCGAGGAAAATCTATAGAATCTGGTTGCTCCAATATAGGTGTTGGTATTTCCAAATGTGGTTGAGGCTGCTCTTTGGACAACAGAGCAGTACCGTTTCGATAAGCAGTTGTCAATACGTGTACTACGTAATGATGGGGACCGTGTATCATACGAGGACAATGCTGACAAATCCAGTTAGTCACGTAACTCACAGATAGCACATATTTGCCGTGAAACTGTAATGTACATTCTATAATATATAGTGCAGATTTAGAACTCACATTTGAATAAATAATTAGAAATACTAACACATGAAACAATAACCGCATTGATTATTTGTTCAGCAAAAATACAGGAAGGAGTTCCACTACTATCCATTGCAATTTTATAAGAAATATTCAATAAACCTCTTAACCCATCAGGAGTAATATTTCCATCTTCTTTTAGATTCGAATACATTTTTACATAATTTTCTAATACAGTTTGATCATTCATTACGGAGAGGAACTTTTCTGCTTGTTGTTTGAAAGCATTTGCGCTCAAATGGGAGGTATTAACATTGGCAGCATGATGCAAATAATTGAACAAATTTTCACCTAATTCTGGATAATTAGGGAAAAGGTACCGTTGAAATACAGATTGGGTAATTCCAGTAATACGTTGCTCGTCGTGAGTTAGATGAGATAAAGTCTGGAAAATACATGCAGTGCTACTGATATGTACATAAATATATTGCTTGTAACTTATAGCAAAGGAATCGAGCAAGGATAACTATATTTTACTTTGTCATTATCAGAAAAAAAGATATTAACGAATAAATATGTTTTAAATGTTTCTTTGAAAAGCAACAATATTTTATATTAGGAACATGATTATAGGTTATGTGAATCAAAGTGTTTGCAGATATACTATGACATTTCAAGAATGTCGCAGAATGACCTGCAAATCATTCATAAAAAGGCTAAGGGAATTGAAAATTTCTAGAACGCAAATGATTTTCCATAATAATTAATGAACTTGTTCGCGAGTCATAGAAATAAATCTTTTTATAACAGCGTAATAAACATGATATGATTATCCATTCATAAGACTACGTCCTCATACCTTCGCCAGATTCTCAATTGGAAAAAATTGCATATGCGAATGACTTTCTAATTCGGAGCCCGACGAACTTTTCGAAAGGCTAGTTGCATTGGTCGTATCGCCGGTATGTACAGCGGATTCAGTTTTTTTGGACGATGCATGTCCAGCACGTGCCACTTGATTACCCATTTCCTTCCAACTAATGCGTTAAAGTACAAATAGATTCACTGTCTTATCATCTGGACATAACATCGCCCACGACAACAAAACATGCATGCAACCATATGCAACTTTCAGGAAGATCGTCACGAATGATAGAAAGGTAAGTGGTGCGTACATTTGTGCGACACCGTGGAGTAGTCTTATAGAGGCTACAGAGGACTCTTAAAGAGGCGAAACTCTGGCGTTTTTCGAGAACCAATTTTCGGTGCGCACGCGTATGGAAGTTGCGTGCGACGAACGTAGCCGCAAAACTTTGAAATATCGAGTGCGCATGCGAGTGAAAGCGATTTCTCATGAATATAGTTGCAGATCTCTGCAATATTAAGTAAATAAACATTATATAGAATTTGTTGTTTTTAAAAGTTTCTTTGCAAAATCTTTAATGTTTGTGCCCCCATATTGAATAATCTTGAAATACAGGAAACTCTTACAAAGGTAGGACTCTGGTATTTTCTTGAGAACCAATTTCTAGAGCGCATGCGTATGAGTGTGTCGTCTCGCACATAACCTCTCCTCCCTCTTGTATCTAGTTGCCCACGAATGTGAAGTAGCAGAGTTGTGTTTCAAAGTTACCCAATTTGGGGACGCGAAAATCAAAGATCCCGACGAAAGTCTCTCACCTCTGTAGGAGTGTTCTGTGGTTGACAGTAACTCCTTACAAGGATATATCGAAGGATATATCGAAGTCGTACGAAATTATTTTTTGGCATCGTGTTGGTGAAAAATATAAGGTATTTACACCTTTTTTATCATGTTTGTCAATGCATATTAGTAGATGATATGAATTAAAATGTATGTAATGAATGTCTACATTTTTTATTACATTAAATAGTGTAGAAACGTTAGAGATATATCCTTCGTTAGATGATAATAATGATTTATATGTTCCAACCTATTTTCGGATCATTGTAGAGTCAAAAATGGCAAGAGAACCGGACGAGAAATTGCAAGAGGCGTTTTCTCAATTCCATGAGAAAATGTTTGATACTGAGCAAAAAATACAATTAGTGGAAATGCAGATAGAAAAATTGAAAGAAGCGAAAGCAATTGGTGATCTCACAGTCGCATTGATAAATTCTTATCCCAAGAATACCAAAACCTATGAGTCTGTAGGCAGAATGTTCTTTCTGGATGATCCAGAGAATATTCTAACAGGTATTCATAAGCGATCTAAGATAACGCAGAAGAAAATTGCCTCTCTGGAAGTGGAACAACAATATATGAAGCAAAACTTGAAAAAATTTGAGAAGAATATTGCAGAAATAATTAAACCGAAACAGGGCAAAGGTGCACCTGGGTACCTGTCAGTTCTTTAGAAGCAAACATTGTTCTGTCATTGCGCATTTTGAAAACACTTCGCACTGTATTTCTTTTCAATTCGTTCATCAACTGTATTCTCATTGTTGGATTTATAACAGATATTTTTTGTAATATAAAAAATAAAGGACACTCTATTTAAACACTAACAGATTTTCGAGATGTCTTTGTTTTGGTAAATGAATACATATATGAACTATTTTGTATTCTATATTATGCAAAGTGCACATATTCAATCACTGATGCAGATAAGACAATAAAAGAGAATGTCGTGTTTTCTAATTATTATTCATTTATTCCAGCAGAATTAATACATACAACAAACGATTTTCCGTGGTTTGATTTGTTTTATACTTAATCAGTCATTCTTCTCGTTCGCTCTCATTCTTGTTCACACACTTGTTTGAATTTCTTAACTAGATAAGATCTAAAATTACCCTTAAAAACTTATTACGTGCCAACACAGTAATTTGGCAAAATTGATTAACACAAAGAAATTAAAAATGCTCTAGTGTTTCCAGACCCCGGGGTAGAAAAGGTTGAATAATCAATATACTTGTTCAAAAATCAGTTAACGTTCTTTTAGTTGTTTGTATACTAACATAATGCATGGGGTATGACACGCGTTCCTGGTTTTACTTATCCATTACTATATGATACGTGTATGTGTATGTATGCGGTGTTCTGATGTATGGTGCAAATAGAATGTAACGATAGTATGTACAAAGATTATATGAAACCTATTTATTTCGCTGTGTCTGCCCTCGTGTGGTTTGAATAAAAGAATTAACTGCAATGTCGAATTATGTATATATAGTATATAAATTCATATACCATGCGCATTGTTGCATTTAAGTATCAAACAGATTCTTTTTGTGCCTCCGCTCTCTATAATTCGTACGTGCAGTAATTTGTGATTCCTTTAAAAAGCTAAAAAAGAAAAAAGAAAAAAAAACGTAGAAAAAGAACTTGATCGAGTTCTCGTTTATATAAACCCATGCATTACAGTAGTCAATGTATAGTATACGAAATGAATTTTTTTTTTCTCTGATACAATATGCAACGTCAGTCTTAACTAAAATGATTGCCATTGTACTCTGTCGTTGGTTCTCGCTGTTTCGTACGAGCATGCGATCCAAAATTAATTCGTCAATGAAGAAAAAAGAACGTTGGGAATAAATTATGCAAAACGACCGCTTAAATTAGCGTATCTTACTATAAACCGCACATTTAGATCCACGACGTAAAACTATTCGTTTCTTAAATAAGTTCTTTTTTTCTCTTATTTAAGTAAAATGGTATTATTATCGTTACGTTTACGATACACCGGCCAATGAAGAAAATATAAATTATGCTCTCAATTTATCTTAAGAAAATAATTTACTTCGATTTCTACAAAGACCGCATGTATAAATACAAAAAGAAAACAAAAAAGAAACATGAAAACTTCAATGCTAATCGCCGAATGTACATGTGTAATAAATACAAGAAATAACGTAATTTAGATGTTAAGATATTACGCGCCCATGTATGCTGTGTAATATGTGTCGCCTATTACAGTTTCTTTGAAATCTTAGCATCTCTAATGAAAATTCAGCTAAAAATCGTAATTTACGAAAAATAATACAGTGCACACGATTTCGTGTCAAGGTAGTGCGATCCATGCCACCTTGAATTATTCAAATTGAGCCACTTTTCGTCAACCATTCACATTTCAAGCTGAAACACAAATTACATTAGTAAATAACTGTCTCTAGGGAAACAACTAATTAACCCTTTTAGTGCCGGCCAAAAAAATTGTACCTAAGCGAAGAATACCAAACTAATTTGATATAATTTAATAAGGTTTGAGAAAAAAGTCATAAAGAATGTAAGAATAATATTTACAAAATTCAAAAAGGATCATATTCTGATATAAAAGAAGAATGAATGAATGCCAACTGTATTTCGATATTTGTTGAAAATCATATGAATAATATTTATTCAAAATCATTAGGAGAAATGGAAAAATCAGTTTTCTTTTATAAACAGTATTTGCAAATAAGAATTATCGCTTGTTCATAGTTTGATACATCATTAACTACGTGATGGATTAACTATGTGATGTAAAGCATAAATACTGCATTTCCAATTATTCGTAACAAAATTTGTAGCAAATCCCCCGTCTCGAATTTCCATGTTATTGTTCTAGCACATACAAAGTCTCGGTATCAATAATTGCGAAATATAACAAAAAGTGAAACTTAGTTTATAAATTTTGTTTAAAATTTATTTTTAGACAGAGTTCCCTCGTGATGCGAATAGTAAGGTGCCATCGCGTACACAACGATTTATCGTTGTTCGGCACTAAAAGGGTTGTTAACAAATTTTCTGTCGCAACCAACCTGTAAATCCTTGTGGAGGTTGACCTGGTACTGAGTATTGTGGTCTAAAATTGCCGAAATTGGCTGCCCCCGCGAAAGTGGCTGGCAATTGACCGCTAGAGAAACCTGCAGGGAATTGTTGTGCTAACAGAGCTGCTTGTCCCGATTGAGAACTATTGCCACCTGGCGCAGTCGCAGCCAATCGACTTAATATCGATCTCTCAGACATCTGAAGTCTTTGCGCAACAGGTGGAATGCGAGCTAAAGTCGCTGGTAAACGGCTCACGTCCGATTTCATGTCGGACAATAGTTCTTCCAATTGGTTTAGTACCTATTATAAAACACGTAAATAAACAAAACGATTAATTATTGCACCAATTCAATAGAAAGAATGAAAAGAATCCGTTTAAAGTTACCTTATGTAATACAGCGTTCGCTGGCTTGTTACCGGCAAGACTTTCTTTGCTAAGATGTTGATGGGATTCAGCAAGGCACTCGACTTCAGCGAATCTCGCATTTAGACTCATCGCAGGATGATTAGGATCCTGCGTTAGATTCAGGTACGCGGCTCTTCTCAACTGTTCCTCTATCACTAGCGCTTGTTCCAACAGTTTGAAGCGTCGAGCTAAAAACTTATTCTTTATTTCTAGGAAGTTACCTTTGCCTACGTCCATCTTGAACGGTTCATTTATTATGGCGAACCTGCGGAAAATGACGATACTGAGCACTGAAGGAAAACCAAGATAATACGTGTTTTAACCCTTTGCGGGCGAACATTTTTCGGAGTATCAAAAATTGCTTTCATAAAAAGCTACATCATATATTGAAATCTTAAATAATAGAGAGGAGAAAAACGATGTGCTGATCCTTCGTAGTTCAAATATTCGAATCACTTGTTTCCAATTTTTTACTTTAAACATGGAAGCTTGATGTCTTCGATATGACAACATTCGTCTTCAAAGGGTTAATCGCAGAAGATTACAGTACCTGATGTCATTCTGAATGTCTTGCCAACGACCATAGCCATGTGTGACTATACCAGCTAATAGCCAGTAGTCGTGTCTTCGATGCCAAATTTCGTATTCACGGCCAGGTACAGCAGCTTTCTCCTCGTTCAACCACAATGTGTGCAGCTCCGTGAACCCGCCGTCAGCAATGTTGAACATGAATTTTCGTTTGGGCTTCATCACCTCCGAATCACAATCCTTCACGTCCTTTTCCTTGTTATCCTTGTCCTCTCGCTTCTCGGTCTCTTCCTCGTCGTCTTTAACAATGACTACATCTTCTTCGGAGTCCTGTTTCGGTTTGCTTTCATTGCTCTCTAACTTCTCTTCTTTCGTCGCGGACTTTTCGTCCTTGGTCTCTGTTTTATCTTTCTCTTTGTCAATTGGTTCTGTCTCCGTGTCTTTCTCTTCTTTCTTCACATCCTCCTTGTCCTTATCCTTCTCAGCATTGCTCTCTTCATCCTCCTTTGAATCTTTAGGTTCTTCTTTTAGATCCTTTACCTCTGCATTCTAAAAAATAATATGTATACTTTTTATTGTCACATCTTGTTCCCAAACTTGATTCTCCAACGATAAACACGTACCTCTTTGTCTTTCTGTTCTTCCTTCACCTCTTTCACTTCAGCCGTATCGGAATTTGCTTTACTGGCATCGCTGGCCGTGGTTCCAGAAGCGGAAGTTGGAGTTGGAGTTGCGGCTGGACTTGGACTAGGGGCATTGGAAGTGGCTGGTGTAGCGCTGGTACTACTAGTACCGGTTGCCGCGTCTCCAGGTTCTACTTTGACAGGTTCGACTGGTTTCCGGATCATTTCAGGCATCGAATAGTACCCGTTTATGTGCTCGAATTCTTGAACCTGAGAATTCGAAATTTAAGAAAAATCGATAGAAAACATTACACTTTAAAGAAGTTACTTTAAAGAACAATATACTGCAAATAAACGCATACCTTTTTCCTAATTAATGACATCACACCGATTCTCGTCAAAACGTGTTGTCTACTGAGACCTTCTCTCGGCACGCCATCCGCAAATGTTTCAGCATTATCGGCGCCTGGCTCACAGAGATGTCGCATGAACAACGACACGTAGGCTTTGAAGTTCTTCTCCGATTTACCGCGGAGATCCCGTACCAGCCTAAAATGCGACAATATACTTTAACAGTACTTTAAATTAACTGACTGCCAATTGTATTCTGTGCGAGTGACTAACCACTGAGAGTTGAATGCGTCCTGCGGTGGCATTCCGTAACGCATAATCGCATTCAAGAATGCCTTTCTTTGCCTGGCATTGAAGCCCAGCACCTAAAGGGAATTAATATATTAACATTTTGTCATTAATTTGTGTTATCATTAATTCCTTAAGAAAGGATACCGCCTAGAGACATCCTGAATATAAGTAAACTAGGAACTTTTTTGTCAACAACCATTGGAAACTTCTGATTTTTTCTGGATGTACAATTGAATCTTCTACTTTATATTTATATTTTTTCTAAGCCAAAATGTTATAAACTGGCGCAGTTATTTGCTAGCTTCGGAATCCATTTTTGTAAAATATCCGTTGTTGGCGGATTCGATTACAGACAACTAAATTATTCGAAGACAATAATTTCTGTAGATTTATAAATTGAAATATACTGTCTAAAATGTAGCGTAGGGATTTTTCGATATCTCAATTATTTAATTTTTTGTAAACATTTGAAGGTAATTTCTGGGGTAAAAGCAGGTTCTTACACTTCAAATGCTAGCCATTTCCATAATAATTAAAATTTTGGCAAATCAGTACGCTACATTTTAGATAACATATATCCGTTTACAAATTTACAAACATTTTTGTCTTCGAATGTTTCAGTTGATTGCAATCGAGTCCACTAACAGTGGATGTTTTACAAAAAGGGATTCCGAAACCAGCGGATAACTGCGCCATTTTGTCACATTCTGGATTAGAAAAAATATAAATATAAAGCGGATGGTTACCGTTATATGCCCAGAAAAAATGAGAAGTTTTCACTTAATAGTTATTAACAAAATTCCTAAAATTGACCTATGTTTAAGACGTCTCTCTAGGTGGTGTCCCCCCTTAAACGAAGAAGTATCAAATGAATTTACTTCAATGTTTCCATTCACTCGTGCAAGTAACGGCGGAAGAGGTCGATCCTTTTCGTCTCTCCTTTCTAATCTTCGTCTGCTCCTGCGAGATAATAGATCTCCGTCACCTTTCTCATCGAAATCATCGTCCTCTTTGTCGTCGTCGCTCGGCGCACTGAAATCGCTGTTATAATCGGACAAATTCTCTTGCCAAGGTTGATCGTCTCTTGTCCCTTGTTCCCCGGTTACTACTCCGTCGTTGTAATTCACCTGTTTACGTACTCGTTTACCTGAAATTAGTTAATACTCTTAACCAACGGGCCCAAGTAGTATGCGACACACAAACACACCCACACACACACACACACACACCTTTCCCAAGTGTTCTAGCAATATCTTCTTGCTGTTGTTCGTAATGATGCCTCAATAGTTTGATCCAATAAGCAGGATCCGTGTTTTCGGCTTCTTGCTTGATAATTTCGGTGTCTGCTTCCTCTTCTGTTTCACCTTCCTTGGTTACGTACGACGCAACTTTGAAGGAACTTAAGTATTCATTGGCCCAATTCTCTTTCTGCTCGATACCCTCTTTGCTCCTGTCTAACAGTTCGGCGACGGCTTTGTCATCGTAATGAATTGCTTCATCCTCTTTACCTTCTTCCTCCTTGAACAATTCCTCGGTACCGAATCGTAAAATGTCGTCTAGTTCTTGTTTGCTGAAGTTCGAACCTTTCCCACCCATTCCAGGTCTAACGACCAAATGAGTCAGCATCATTTTGCGTTTCGCTACTTGTGTAACTCGTTCCTCCACGGAATTACGGGTGACGAATCTATAAATCATCACCTTGTTAGCCTGACCGATCCTGTGAGCTCTGCTGAACGCTTGAATGTCATTGTGCGGATTCCAATCGGAATCGTAAATAATCACAGTGTCGGCTGTGGCTAAGTTGATGCCCAAGCCACCCGCGCGAGTGGAAAGCAAGAAAACGAATTGCTGCGCACCGGGAGCATTGAATCTGTCTATAGCCTCTTGTCGCTGAGCGCCTGTGATGTTGCCATCGATTCTCTCGTACTTGTAACCTTCTCCTTCCAAATAATCCTCAAGAATGTCCAACATTTTCGTCATTTGCGAAAAGATCAGTACTCTATGGCCGTCGTCCCGCAACTTTTTCAGCATTTTGCTTAATAATACTAATTTGCCAGCAGCTTTGATCAACGCAGACGTTTCGTAGCTACCGTTAGGCGCAGTTGGCGCTTCTTGAGACGCGGCCGGGAATAAGTAAGGATGGTTGCAACATTTCTTCAAGTCCATCATGATGTTTAGAAGCGATACTTGTTGACCTCCTCCCTTGGGATTCAACGCTTCGAAATTTCTCGTCAGAATGTACTTGTAGTATTTCTTCTGCATCGGCGACAGCTCAACGCGAACGATGAACTCTGATTTACTTGGCATGTTCTTTAATACGTCAGCCTTCAACCTCCTCAACATGTGAGGACCAAGGAGTTCATGCAACTTCTTCACCTGCTCCTCCTTCGAAATGTCAGCGAATTCGTTCTGGAACGCAGCTAAGTCGTTGAATTTGTCGCGGCACAAGAAGTTTAGCAGATGGAACAACTCTTCCAAGTTGTTCTGCAAGGGAGTACCAGTTAATAATAACTTGTACGCGATATTATAGGACGCTAAAAGTCTGAAGAACTTCGACTGATTGGATTTCAATCTGTGCGCCTCGTCTACTACTAACACAGCCCAATCTATGGATCCCAGGCACGCGGAGTCGATAGAAATGAGTTCGTAACTGGTAAGCAGCACGTTGAACTTGATTTGAGAAGACCGGATTTTCGACGCTCTACCGCCGCGTACAGCACCCTCTTCGAAAGACAACTCGTTCTCACGAATCACGATACGGCTATCCTTATCACCTGCAATTATGTAAAGAATACAATTAATAATCACATCGAGTTAAATAATTTTCAATGTCGTTATACACTGATTATTTGCGTCTACCGACCAACGTAAGTAACACAGTAGAAGTCAGGTGCCCAGGTTTCAAATTCACGTTCCCAATTGATGATAGTTGACAGAGGCACGGAAACCAAGAAAGGTCCTTTGCAATGACCTTCTTTGTACAAAGAGTACAGGAAAGTAATGGTTTGAATAGTTTTCCCTAGACCCATCTCGTCCGCCAAAATAGTATCTATACCTTGGCCCCAGGAGTATCTCAACCAATTCAATCCCTACGAAGCGATGAAATTAAAAAAAAATTCTCGAAAACATGCATATTCATCGACGATTGTTCTTACTTCTAATTGATAAGGATGCAATTGCATTCCTGTTTGATCCAAGTATTCTGGTTGTCGCTCGTATTTCTTTTTGAGGTCAGTGGTAGGTTTATCCGGTGGCGGAGTGTATCTTTTAGGTGTTCTTTCTTCATCGTCGATAAGCTCACGAGTCTTCGACTTTTTAGCTTTACCTGAATAACGTATATGATTACTGTATTAACTGTAACATAGTGAAAAAGAAAAAGAAAAATAAATTAACCGACTCTTCTCACCCTTCTTGCCCTTGCGCGAGGAACTACCGTCGCAACAGTTCGCTGCCCTGAGATCCAGATAATACTCGATTGCCTGTTTCAAGCCCGGAATATCTTCGTGTTCGTCTTCCCAAGTAGCTTGGTCGTATCCTAACTCCCTCCATTTAACTAGATACGTTGCCCTGCCGTCTCGTGAAAGTCGATGATTAATTACTCGATGCACCACGAGCCATTCCGGTCGAACACCATAACGATAGAACCGTTCTTCCAAGTTGTATTCATCTCTGTTCGTAGCACCATCCTGTTCTTTCAGTCGTTTTACGCGAGAGTCGCTTTCATCCAATGGCTCCTCCAACTTCGGCGGTTCGTCCATGTCATATTTTCGTGAGTAATTCCTGAACATAAGTGGATGGAAAACATCCAATTGCAACTCTGTAATCCAGTCGCAATGCCAGTATGACATGTCCGCCCATTTTACAAAGAATTCGCGGATTTTACGCTGCTTGGGAGCAGCTTTGCTCGTAGAAGGCTCCTCCGAGGGTGTTTCTGAACACTCTTTCCACCTCCACGTTAAAATCTTTGCTACTTTCCCACGTAGAGGTGGACAAGAACATCTGGGGCATTTCCAGTCGCCATCGGGAATTTCGGAGAGCGGTGGATTTAAACAGTGTGTGTGGTACGCGCTAGTACAACTATCACAGCATAACAATTCGCCGCCGTCTTTACATATTCTACAGAATTCCATGTGTTCGTCGTCGTCTTCCGCTGCGCCTGAAAAATTGATCACACGATTTACAAAAATTCGATTTGATTTGTCGATTTACATTGTTTAACTATTATATATGGGACGGGATAAAGGAAAAGGGTTCCCAGGGAGGTACCTGCAATACCTTCTCCTTCACAATGAGGACAACTCCATTTCCCTTCGGGTGTTTCTTCTAATTCAGGCTCTAAGCATACTAAATGATATGCTCTAGGGCATGTGTCACACAATATGATTTCACCACCTTGCTGACACACTTCGCAATAGTCTTGATGATCGGTCTATGTAAAGAAAATATATATTATTACAAAGAATTACGTTATACGACAGAATCACCATGGATCCGTAAGAGGAACAAACTTGAATGTACCTGAAGACCTTCTTCTCCATCCGGAAACTTGGATGTAGTTTTCGTTTTTTTCTTTTTCTTAGTCTTGTTACCAATTTTAGTTTTTGCCTTCCTACGGACTGGGGGTTCTGCTGGTGGCTCAACCCCGCTGTCCTCGATGTTCCCTTTGTTTGTTCCATCCGCGCCAGACGGCTCTTCCGCATCAGCCAACATCTGTTCAAATTCCATGTCAGAGTCTCTGTCGGTACCGACTCCGCTTCCTTCTGCTTCCTCATCCTAAACAGCGACGATAATTAATATAACTGAATATGAAACTACATCCTTGGATAACACTTAAACAATTAATTTTAATTGAACTCATTTAACAGATTTGATTAAAAATTGTATTTTATATAAAAACAAAGAATCTATTTAAAGAATTGCAAATATCCCCGATTCAAGACTTACTACATAACGAAAAAAAAAAATTAAACAAAATAAATGACAATGTATTGTTAAGGCAAAACTGGGAGATCTCCCCATTTGACTGGCTAAGTGTTAAAGTATGTTTAATACTAATTACCGAGCTTCCTCGTTTACGCTTTCCAAGTTTTATTTTCAATGTGGGTACTTTAGACGCTTTCTTTCCTTTTTTGGCTCTGGACCCTCTCGATTTTCGTTTTCTATCACTGTCCTCATCGTCGTCCTCTTCGTCCTCGCCTTCTTGTACTGTACCGCTACGATTCGACCTTGAATTTCTATTATCTTCGTCAACATTAGCAGATGATACGTCTGCATCGGGTTGCGTATGGGGATTCAATTCGGAGAAATCGCGCCATTTGGCGGCTACCAACATCATAAGTTTTGACATTGGTACCTATGTGACAAAGTACAAGAATCATTGAATAATCCAAAAATGTGTACTTGTTAAAACTCGTTAAAAAAATATTTACTTTTGGATTCTCCTTTGCTAAAAGAGGTCTAACGTGTTGTTGGAATAATTTATAAGTTGTTAAGTTTTGGAAGTCTGCATCAGTGTATTCGATCTGTACATCAGTCAATCCAAAGGTATTACAAACTTCTTCAATGGTAGGCATGCCTGTGGTAGGCTCCTGACTTGGAGGAGCTGGTGCTGTATGACTAGATGACTTTCTTGACGAAGATTTCCTACTTTTTCTGTTTCCTGCATAGTCACTGTCATCTCCACCTACGTCACCTGTTTCACCACCACCACCTCCAAAATCGCTCTCCTGTAATGATTATTGAAAAAAATTATCAAATTAACAATGCATAAAATTAATATAATTTATGTCATCTAATCTGAATTCCAAACAGAATAATTACATCTCCGGAATCAGATTTTTTCTTTTTCTTCTTTTTCTTTCCCTTCTTGTCTTCACTGCGTGCTTTTCGCTTTTTTCCTTTCTTCTTCTTCCTTTCTTCTGGTTCATAATCATCATCTTCCTCCTGCATTGAAAATCATTATTATACCACTGGAATATTATCTTGACAACTTGCCAAAATACATGAATTCAAATTCTACTGACTAATCTCTGAGATTCTTCTGCATCTGATGAACCATCCACTGGCTGGGTAACATTCGAAACTTGACCTCCAGTTTCTTCTATATCATCTTCACCTATAAGTAAAACATACAGAAATAAATAATAAATATTCGTTACTATATTACCGTTACAATACTTATATGTACAGTGGATTCATTTCTACATTGGCTCTTATACACAATTAACATCAACATTTCGATATTATAAATTCAAGATTAAAGAATTAATGTTAATATTAATTTCATTTGTGTACATTAAAACAATATAATTTGATACCAATGAAAAGTTTTTCAAAAATTTTGGTAAATTTCAAAGTTACAATAATTTGACCTTGAATTTTTTTAATCCAATATTTAGTAAAACATACAAATCAAAATTTCTCTATTAAAAAAACAAATGAGCCAATGAGCAAGTGAACTTTTGATTCGTACAACTACAATGCACCAAACGGCGTCATATTAATAATCGCCGAATCGATAGCAAGGTTTGCAAGGAACAGAATTTTTTTTATTCATAAAAATCGATCAACCTGATAAAAACGAAATAATTTCAGGAATCTTCGTTGAATACATTCGAGCATGTACAAACGAACGTCATTAAAAAGAAAAACAAAAAAAAAAT